TATGTGTGCAGTAAAATGCTTCCGCTTTTGAGTTATATTCGGTTTTTATTGCACTTCCGGTAACACCGGAAGTGAAGGTCAAGCGGTTTTGTGTCCGGGGAGAAGAAATGTTCTTACGGCATAGTGTACAACCTCACGAAAAAATGAACACGAAACTCTATTTAGTTCAAAAGATATAGCGCAAACTACTTTGTCAAAATTTGCCCTTAACTCGCTTGTAATTTGATACCTGATGACATCATGATGACGTTACAAAATTTGTAACATCTTCATAACATGGTACAAGTTCACACTATGTTTTATGATCATACCATAAACCATTCGGAAGAAATTTTGTTATTTTTTTATTTCAAGCTAACGTCTTCATTTTGAATTCACCTAACTTTGACCTTCCGGTAGCCCCGGAAGGAAAGGTCAAACAACTTTGACTTTAAAATCAAAAATGTTTATCAAGGTATTGTCTATTAGATCGCAAAGTATAAACGTGATCGTTTATTTTGTTTATGAGTTATAATTGATGGAAAATTGTCATATTTTGACCAAAAATTGCTTGTAACTTGACACCCGATGACGTCATCGTGACGTCAGAGTAATATGCACCACTCGGGATGAGGGTCGAGATATGTTGAAAGTTACAAGTTCATACCATATACCGTTTAGGAGAAAACCCGCGGAGAAGTATTGTCCGGAAAAAGAAAGAAAGAAAGAAAGACCCAAACAAAGAAGATTTATGAGAACAATTCTAGACAGTGGTCGGGTTGTGCCCGACCACTCAACAAGGATTGTCCAAGAAGAAAACCACAGTAATTCAGTGAAATATTCTGAGTAACTTTCCACGAGTAATTTTGTTGAAATCTGTAGTTAGTCCTTTCCTTTAGCTTGTATTGCATTTGGTTGCCTCCTAGTTTCTTGTGAAAATTGTGTTGTATGATTCAGCCGTTTATAAATGCGGAAGTTGCCAACACATTTACTCATCTTAGGTAACACACATGTACATTGTATGTAGACTGTAGATCATACCCATTCAAATGTCAAGTACATGTACAATGATCTATTTCCAGAGCCAACATTTCTTAGTAGAAATGAAAAATTCCACGGTATACCTAATAGTAACAACCAAGTTTCCATTGAAAACATTGACTCCTATCGTACTTTCATGGTATTTGTCACATACTCTTGTCTCGTCCACCTTTTTAATCAAAACCGACCAACTTGAATGCGTCCAAACATTTTTTTTCTTTGAATGTATGTACGTGTAAGTGCAACATCCCACTTTCAAATGTCACTAACTCTGTCTAAAATGTCAAATTAAAACTGAACGTCGGCTCCAGTCAATAATGCGCAAGTCTTTAATATCATTAGTGCAGTTTCCATCCTGGCCGTAAGTCACTTACAAGTATTTGCCACCGCAAATTTCCCCCCTCGTATTAAAAAAAATCCCTGACAAACTTGATTGCTTTGAAACCGCTTGCCGATGAAGCCAGCTCACTCTAAATCCCATTTGGGATTAATTGTGTGCCGAGCGTAAATGCGGGTTGCTAATATTTATACAATTACCGGGTACTGATTTAAGTAACGCTTGTACTTAACGATGTCGCGGTAATTATGCAAAGGAGTGCGATGAAGTGAGTATATTATCTATGGATTGCAAGGGTATTTGTGACATCCTAGGTTTGCTTACTGCACTGACTGTCAATGTCAAACACCTCCAGTCCAAGCATGCTTAAATCAAATTGAGAAGGGAATTTGAAACTGTCAAAAACAGTCACTTGATTGATTTTGACAGCTGCGATGGCATATAGCTGAATTTGCCAGTCAGAAAGGGGGGTTAAATTCAATTTATTTATCAACCACCTACAGTCAAAGCATAGCTGTATCAAGTGACAACAGTCACAGCCAGTCAATCCTACGGTACTTTATGTAGTCTGGGAGCTTTTAACTTTTTTTAACAGTCACTTGATTGATTTTGACTAAAAGGACTGCTTCACACAGAATGTATGTTTGCTTTGAGGGTTGATATTGATATCAGCAAAAAGGTGCTTAGGACAATGAAGTTTTACTAAATTGATGCTTGAAGAAACAGTTTGTAATGAGATGCAGTTAGAGAAGACTTTGGGTGATCTTCAAGATCAGTATCCCTCACAATCATTATCTATCATGAAGACCTCCTTCAGTGTCAGGGCAACCTATTGTTAAGATAACCTGTCATAGGATAGGTCCTCTGTGCAATAGTGAGCACCTTGTTTTGGCCATTGAAGGGGACCTTGTGTGTGTACAGTAAGCAGATACATATTTTCCTCTTTGACAAAGTTCCTCAGAGAACTTGTGTTCAATAGTTTCAATGGAATCACTGCAAAACATTTTGGTTCTCGGACTCTTCTTTTCCTTTAATTAAATTAAAATAATCCCAACGATAAATTTGGAGAACAAAAAAAGTCTGTGAAAAATGGGCACAGGTGGATTTTGAACCGAAGATCTTGCGATCCATAATTTATCTCACTATCTTTAAAATGATGTAATTAATGTAAGTAGTTGACTATTAAAGTAACAATGGTGTTACAATGTATGTCATTGTTCTTTACTCATGAATAAACATAACTTTCCTATCAAAACAGGGGTTCTCTGAGAGACGTTGTCTAAGAAGGAAATATTGATCTGCACACAGTGATCAAGTGCCCGGATTTGTATTGGCTTGATCCTTAGGCACCTAGAATGTAGATGCCAGAATTTGTTTTTGCCTCATATCTGGCACGTACTAGCTTGACGAAAGTTCTCCATATGTGCTAATAAACGATGACACTGTGTAGCCATAACTTTAGAGCATAGATATCTTAGTGGGTTCAAGGACCCACATGCATGATAATATGCCAGACTTGGCAAGGATCGGGAGTCTGGATCTCTAGGATCTACTTTTGTTTCAAAGATCCTTCCTGCATCCTCCAGAATTTCCTCTGTTTAAGAAACCTGATGGCACGTTTCTTTAACATAAACATTGAAGGTCATCCAGCCCCATGGACCCTTTTACGGACAGATCGTAAGAGTGCTGTGAAGGCATGCTGTGTATAGCATCCTGGGAAAGTTTGCGCTACGAGGATTGTGTGCAGCGCAAACTGTCCCACAATGCATTGTGACATACCTTCACTGCACATTTCCTGTCTGGCGGCTATCCATAAAGGGTCTTTGTGAAACAATGCGTGTACTACTGGTTGGGCTCTATTGTTACTCCCTTATCCTACAGAATCCTGCAAAATTGCTTGGAGGATTATGAAGGATTGGGGAAGGTTAGGGTTTTAAGAGTCACTGTAACTGGGAAAGAGTCCTTACTTGGGTCTCTTGTGCACAGTCAAAGACTGTACCGGTACATAAAGAACCAAACTTACAAATGTAAAGGTAAAACACAATATTTGCTTACATCAAAAAAACAAAACTACCAAATTATTATGAAGTACCTCACTTAAAGTGAATAATAGTCTCAAGCATTCTGTGATATCATGGCACCTGGTGTGCTGTCATTTTCAAGAAAAGTGGGATTTTTGTATCAATTTCCAACGAGGGTCGGCCAATCATCTTTGGAAAAAAAAAAGATTTTTTTTTTCTCAAATACTGCTCCCAATTTGTTAAATTTAGTTAATCCACATTTTGTTTGCAATTGGAGACACATCCGTGAACGGGTGCAAGCCAGCTAGTCTGGTTCCCTGGCGTGAAAATTCCCTGACGTCTATAAATTGCTCCATTTCGTCTGAAGTAGGGTCAGGGAATCAGACTACAAGGAAAAAATTCTTGGTTTTCATAGAATTTATGAACACAAAACTTTAAACAGGCCACTTTAACAATATTTGCTATCAAATAGTGAACCTTAAATCTATCCATTTCTGAAAATTACAGCAAAAAGCAAATGTTGCACAATTTTTTTTGTGTGAATTCAAAAAGAAAATGAAAATTGAAGGCCTCTTTCGGAAATGAATTTGAAGAGGTTTTAACCAGAACAGAACTGCCATGGCATGTTGCCTTTAAGTCTCACATTAACGCAGTATTAGTTGCCACATCCTGTCCTACATCCAGAATATGTACTCTTCCTGAAATGATCCCTGGGTGAGAAGTGTTAGTTAGACACTGTTAGTGTCACTGCCATGGAAACCATATCCAGCTTTTTCTTGTTTTGTTTTTATATATTTTTTCTGTTCGGAGAAAAAACTGACGTGCAGGCAGTGACCTGAGGTTGAGCTGGACTGGTGTAAAATTGCAGAGCTCCGGTTCATGCCCTCTGGTTTGATGTCAATATCGTCTTAGATTTCCTTGGCTAGATTTTTATTTGATCATTAATTTGGATGACGTCTATAATTACAATTGTTTTGGGGAGGATTAGGGAATGTTCCCAGCAAAAATGACAGGTGCTTTTGATGTAACCCTCCCTGTCTGGCTGACACATTCAGCTACATTCAGGGGTACATTATCACAGCAGTCAAAATCAATTAAGTGACTTATAATTAATAGTTAATTTGAAATGGCCATGCTTTGACTGTAGGTAGGCCTAATTGATATGCCAGCTGTACTTTCCAGTTCTGGTACCTCTTTCGTCTGTTGATGGAATTTGACTGGTCATAGTGTTTACTAGTCTGTAATGGATGGCAGAGAAAGTGGAAGAAAATGTTTACTGTGAAAGAAATTTTTGACTGTCTGTGACTGATCAAAATCAATTAATTACCGGTTATTACATGCAATAATGTATAATTGACCACTTTAGGACTACATTGGAGACGTAAGAATTGAAGGTTTGCATGGTGGGAAGTCTACAGATGTACGGTTAGCGGTAGCACCATGTAATCAAATCTTTTGTGTGCCAGTGTGTGGTTCTGAAAAGAATCAGTTGTGTACCAGTAGCACAATGTTTCGGAATGAGTGCCTGTCTTCTTGACATTTGATACACGTACATTGCATACCATCCATGTACCCACACTATGTTTGCGTTGCATTAAACCTTTGTGTTGTTGAATTCTCAGCATCAGATTGAGAAGAACCCAGGCGTGTACCTGAATACAGAGCAGCCTCCTTGTATGAAGTTCCTGGTGACGGAGGCCGACATCAAGAAGCAAGAGGAGCGTGTCCGGGAGGTGAGGCAGAGACTGCGCAAGGTGCTGGAGGGAGATCTCAAACAGATACAAGGTACTGCAGGCTCCTAGATAAGTGGCTATGGACTACACCAGTGTTTATGGAATTCATATTTTAAAATCTTATGATTTAAAGTTGCATTCCCCTTGATCTTCAACAAATTCAACACTTTTTCCCTTTTTTTTTTTTTTTTTTGAACTCTGCAACCCTCTGAAAAAGGGTTTTTGTTTTAGGCACAAACAGATCCACTTTGCGAGCAAAATACTGGCTCTTGGTCTGAACATTATCGACAATGGAATTATTGTCTGGCAGCCAATATTTGTAAAAGTCAAAATTCAGTAACTAAGGCCAAAAAAAAAAAAAATACTCGGTCTCTGGTCAGACCACAGTTCCGGAATTGATGCGACGACACTGCTCTTTTTTTTTTTTTAAGCTTGGATTGTACAGACAAGGTGGGGTACTATTTTGCTTTTTTGGGTGTCCTCATGTACATTGGTGTCCTGCATAATTTGCCTTAGTGCCCTCAATCATTTACCTTGGTGCAATTTCCCATTCCTGGGTGCTCTTTGGTAAAAAAATTTGAGGCGGTGCGGCAACGCTGTTGGAGCTACCGCGGAACATTTTGGAAAAAAAAAAGATTGACGCGCATGGTTAAAATCGACGCGCGCGCTGACCAGAGACCGACTACTTTTTTTTTTTTGGCCTAACCATGGACTGAATTTTTTTGGGAATAAATTTTGTATTGTTGGAAAAATAGCAATTTAGAAAAGAAATCTGTTTTTCGGGAGAAACCTCGAAAATCGCACGGGGAATGCAACTTGAAACTTTGATACATTTTTGTAATTTCACACTTTATATACGAATTGACCATTTTGTCTGCATCCAAAACAAAGCTTAAAACGTTTGCTGATACACATGTAAATCTTTTTATCAGATTGTACCTCCATGATTTCGATGAGGAATTGACATGAATTTGTTTTAAAAATCATGTGTTTGTAACCAAAAGTTTCTTTAAAATTCATCATAATGCATACATTTACATACATACATGTATACATGAAGTGCCGGTATGCTTAATAACTAATGAATTTGTTACATTTCTACTGTATGTTTAATTTCATCAAGAGGAATAGTGTAGTTGGTCTCTGGTTATTGACAGCTGTCTTTCATACAAGTAAACCATATTTTCAAGGCACAATGCAGAATTCCTGGAAATAAATTCACACGTACGTGGCTCTGATCAATGAATATTCATTACATTTGAAGTGTGAAGTGTTAATTATTTCAACACACCATTTGGGAAATGCGTACATTTACACTGATCCTGTGCGAATGACATGCATCCTGCCATTGGCAACCAGTCCAATTATTTGTCTTGGACAACGTTTCAATATTTTTATTGGCTTTTATTTTTTTTATTATGGGGTTTTTTTTGGCAGGGGTACACAAAAATGCATCAGTGTCCACACACTACACTTGTCAGACAACATGCGATGTGCGTACGGCCGATTGATGACTCATAATGTGTGATGACTGTAACACACGTATCACACAGTGTTCATCATCCAAATATACGCGGTTGGCGGCTTTCTATTCAGGTCTCTAGGCACGGAGCATTGATTGGTTCTCAGTCACAGCGCACACAATAGTAGTACTTGCATTGCTGATGCTCGAATAGACCCGAGCCGGACTGATAATGACATTGGGGAGAATTGGAATTTTTCTGACTCATCCACTTCAAGATATTTACTCTTTTTTTTTTCCTTTTTTTTTTTTTTTTCTCTCTTTTCGTTCTATGATTCACGATGAATCGTCAGTGAATGCGAAAAACAGGCAGCTAGGCTCGAGCCTCGATGCTACAGATTGTACAGTATTTCAATTCAGACGTGAGAGAAAGACATTATCAGTATTGAACAAAAAAAACAACTTTCAGACCTTTTATCAAATTTTCAGACCTTTTTAAAAATCGACAATCTCATCACTATCATTTGCTCACAAAAAAACTCAAAAATAAATCTGATGTAGTTTTTTTTTTCGTTATCATATATCTACAACACTTATTAATTTCAAAAATTAATTTCTTCCCATGAGCGCATTAAAAAATAGCTGCCAATTCAGAGTGCTTTTTCCTTGTTTGAATCAGTTTAATTATTTATAGAATTATTTTTTTACTCAGTGCTCTGAAAGATTTAGACAACACAATCCCTGTATAATGAAGCAGTCTTTGCACAGATGGTCCCTAGAAGAATGGTAAAGCAAATATATTAAATCTAGATGCAATTCTGGGAGTTATAAGTGGAGAGAATGGACAAACATTAGAACACTAATTAATCAATAATCCTCACAACACGTAGGGGTCAGGAAAAGTGCAAATGCTGAGTCAGGGAAAATGATCAACGCATAAATTTGCAGTTTATATGACTTCAAGCTCAAGAGAACAAAATGGTGTTAATTGATCTATTTTCAAATGCTGCGTCAGGAAAAATGATGCAAACATCAATTTGTTGTTTTGTCTTTTCAGCTGGGGAAAATCTGGAATTGTTTGAAAATAGAATTCCTCACAGACGGATAGTTTGGATAGTGTTGTTCATCAAAACAGGGGAATTTTTGTTTTCTGGAGATATGTGAACCACACAGGCGGTTGATGAACTTCTGGCAGCAAGTGTGTTTACAGATTTCTGAGAGGAAATGTTAATAACGTGCAGGATATTGGCTGGCGTTTGGGGGCCTGTTGGCTCATTGCCAGCATACACAGTTCCAACGACCCAACCCAGATAGGGACAAACTCTGAGGCCTGGGGGATATTGGCACTACGCACACATAAAAATCGTGGCAAAAGGGGAATTTTTTATTACACCATGACTCATGTTGTTGCTAAAATAGAAATGTGGACATTAATGCAAAGCCTTGAAAATAGATGCACAGCAATTTCCCCTTTGGTGACAATACAAACAGGTGTGTAGTTGTTTGGGTGAAGGCATTTGTATGTTTTGCATACTATCAAAACATATCCCTGCTTTTATTGTAGCCAGAGTTTTGGTAAAAAAATTGGTTCTGCATTTTCATTCTCCGAATAAGTAATTGATTTATTTGTCATTCCCATCGTTAAATCAGCAAAAGACATTCCATGTGCAACAAATACAACAGATCAGCCAAAATTCTTGCATGAGCACTGTTGTAAAATTACAAATGACTGTTGGAATCATTTCTTGATAAGCCTCCTACTGTCTATAAGTTTGGGTTGTGGTAACGGCAGAACTCTGAAAATGGGATTTGTTTTTTTTCCGCTGGCCCTTTATTGGGGTCTATCTAGTGCTTTTTCTTGGCCTGCGGTTTAAATCCTTGCTGTCAGTCAGTGATTTCCTTTGAGTTTCATCACACAGTTTCACAGATTACTATGTGTTTTTGAAATGCAAAACAAAAGATTGTTTTTGATATTATAAAATGAACAGCATTTTGAAATTGCTCACTACATTGTAGGTTTTGAGATGGTCTTTTGTAACATTCTTTGTGTCACGGTTGAAAGGGTACTTAAATACACAAAGTTCATAAAAAGAAAAGCGATCTTGTTTTTATTCGGAATGGGGAAATATTAAAATGATGGCACAAAGTTAGTGTTTTAGGGAACCTTTCTATCCGGGTGGGGAAAATCTCACATTTTCCAGTTGGGGGTGGGGGAGGGGCACACTTACGTATGCCTAGTGAGACCACTGGATATGAATCTAATTGAAAATAGACGGAAGTCTTGAGTGCAACTTTGCTGCCAGGAAGTGTTGGATCATAGAGGGTCACATAAAGCGTTGGAATGGTTTCAGCGGTGAAGCCACATGAGACACAAACAAGATATTGCTGGCCGGGAGACTGTAATTCCACACATCCTTGTTTTTGTCGTTTGGGTAAATTGCGGCTTGTTTGGCTCGGGACATCTTCACAGCTAGTTACATGTACATGTCTTGTTTATGAACTCTGCCTGTCAGTAGTGGCATAAACTGGGATACTGTTACGAGGGGTGGGGCTCTAGGGGCCTCGGTGTTTGTAGGGAACGCTCTGGTGTTTCGGGGGGGGGGGGGCCTCAATGGGGGATGGGTGATACAAACAACAGGGTATTCAAAACATACAAAATAATGTAGAGCCTTATATATAGTGGCTTGGAAATTATGTCAAGTTTTTTTGGGTTCATCATAAAGAGGGCATATGTTTATAAATGTCTCTGATTGCCAAGTTTAGTTGGTTATATGCATTAAATTTAAATAGAGAATTTTACATTTCACTCTTTCATTAAAAAAAATACTCAAAGACTGAAAAGGCTTTATTCTCTTGCTGCGAAGTAACCTATGTATTAATACAATATTGAAGAAGTAATTGTGGCTTATAAAAATCAAAACTTACTTTGAAATTCTGTGTTTACTTATAGCTAGTTATATGAACGTCATGAACTTTGTTTTGATCGTGCAAGAGTGGCAGAAAACAAAATGTGGTGACCAATCAGACCCATTTCGTAACCGGTTGAGCAATTAGCGGGGAAAGTAGGGCTTCCTGTGGTCACACAGATATCCAGGAATCTTCTATTTTAATGCTGATTGATATCTAGGCACCAAAAGGTCACAGGAATACCAGGAAATCGGTCCAAATATAGAAGAGGTTAAGGACTTTTGGTTTGCCAGATTTTTCCAAAACAACAACGAGGAATGACAATAGTAATAAATATTTACAAAACAATGTAATAGTGGTACAGATTTTCTGGTAATTAGTGTAGCCAAAACTGAAGGATCAATAGCAGTATTAGATCTGAAACCCAGACTCCAGCTGATGTTGCTTTGATGAGTTGGAACCTTCCCGATTCCTCCAAAATCCTCTACTGTGGAGGAAACATGTGGCACATTCATTTAAAGGCACATAGGATCAATTGCTTTCCATGTGTTTTGTTGGTTTCCAATAACACCACCATTAAAACTCCAAAGAAGACTGTTCATAACCTAACCTGATGAGGTTTCAGCTCAGTGGATATTATTAGACTTTGTCAAGAAAACCGTGAAAATCCATGCACAACCTTTTGATCATGAACACTATTTATTTTGTCAATAGCACTCTTTTATTTCCAAAGATCATTCCATTGACTGATCGTTGGAAATCACCTACATTTCTTGATTTCTTCTAAATGACAGCAAGTTAGACAGAATAATTTCACGGGGTGTTTAGTACCAGTTTATGATCTTTAATCCAAGGAAGCTTTTTGATGATTCTGTAGGTTAATTTTGGGATTAATGTAAATGATCCTATGTGCCTTTAACTTTTTAACCTGCTGTTTGTTTGATCACTCACAGACAGTCAAAAGGTCAATCCTGTTCCCCTGCCTGCCGGCACAGGCTAGTCACCAACAGTCAGATCGTTTTTCCTGTGGCACTGTGACTAGTCAAATTCCATCAACAGACAAAAGCAGGTGACTGGTAGGCACAGCTAACTTATCAATCTCCTACAGTCAAAGCATAGCTATATCAGGTTTCATGACAATCACAACCAGTCAATCCTGCTTTATGAAGGCAGGGAGCACTCAACTGTTACAGTCACTTCATTTCCTTTGACTACTGGGCTGGCCTCGTTGAAATTGCCAACCAGAGAGGGAGGGTTAACTTTTAATGAGCATCACGTCCCATATAAAGTTAAAAAGGCTATGTTCTACCTTCCTTCATCCTTGGATGAAAAGGATCTTGAAGGGTAAGGGTTACAAAATGTAATATTCTCTCAGTCTCAATATCTACAATCCATGTGAATTAAAAAAAAACACCACTGATCTCCTTGACAGTGTAACCATCAACTGTTATGTTATGGTTAACTTCATACTGGCAGTCAGAAAATAAACAAAGCCAACCAGTCCATCTTTACTACCTACTTCAAATTCCTAGATCTTTAATCTGTACCAAAAATAGCTCTTTTGTTTTTATCCGGGAGTGGGCATTCACATTCCACAGGAAAGCAGTCTATTTTTACCTCTTAGTAATACTGGTACACTGTATGTCATCGGCTTGGCTATACGGCTATAAACCAAAGTCATTGCCTCGTTATTTCTCTTTCTGTCAAGGTCTAAATATTTATATGATAGCCAGAATTAACTACCAGAGATCGTACCAGCTTTTTGTTCAAGGTAGTCTAGGGCAAGAAGCCAGGATCAAGTGCATTAGAGTAAGCAGGAATGCGTTGATGTTACAGATTAATTAATGACATTCCCAGCTGGTTAGTGCTTTGCCTGTGAATCTTGAACCATGCTCTGTGCCTGAACTGTCAGGATATAATACAGTACCTCCTTCCTTCCAGTAGGATGTTTCAGGGTTCCTGGCTTCAACCTGCACCAGTTATGTTCTGCTGTGACCCGTGGCATTTTTTTGGCTACCACCATTTCTGAATCCTCAAAATCCACCATGCACCATGCACCTCAAAATTCAGTCCTGCAGACTTTTCCAAAACCCTGTGGATTTTGAAGGGACTCCAATGGTTGGGCTGGAACTTGGTCCAATTTGTCATCAATCACATTCCTTCTCCCAGAATGTTTCTAGAGACACAATTCAGAACACCCAATCTTGTTCCATAATTGTGGGAACCACACAACTGTTGAGCGATAGTTATTATTAAAGGGGACTGAAGATGCTGTGGGGACAGCAGAAAGTCCCCTTAACTTGGTGCTAGTTTCCCTAACAGTAGAAAACTTCCCCATAACGGGGTGTTGACATGGGCATGGTGTCTGTCAAATTGTCAATTGACCTATCGCGGTAGAATCGCGTCAGCGCAGCTAGTGAAATATTGTCCAATTGCATGATACAAATGGACGCGGAACGCGCAAAATCTTAGACAAACAAAATTCATCTGCTGACACTTTCAAACCCTTCCCCCCCCCCCCCATTTTTTTTTTTCAATCAAAGCATTCGCAAATGAAAATCCAATCTTCCAAGAGACAATCAAAGAAATCATAAAAACATACTTCTTTCCAGGTGAAAATGAGAGAATTTCGACAGCAATTTAAACCTCTTCAATTCTCATGAGAATTTGCAATAACGTTTTTTTAAAGTGCCTGAAGCATTGCCATGGTATTTGTTTCAAGAGTCCGAAAGCAGCTTGCAGCAGTTTTATTCATTTTTATGTTTCAAGATGTCTCACTTACCTTTTTGGACCCTGGGATTTCCCAAGTGAACAATTCCAAATTTCCAATATTAGAGACTGATATAATATTTTCAATGAGATGTACATGTTATGAATTTCGGGAGGACCGAATATTTTAACAATTTTCTTTTGAAAGCTTAGAATTAATTTTTAAAAAAATTGCTTAGTTGTAATAGATTCTGGTGAAGTGCTGGCTTGAAGTTAATTTAGGGAAGCCTAGATACACAGATTGTTTTAGGTATTATAGCCCAAACCCACCTCTCCTCAACACAGCACCTTGAGTGTGCTTGACCTTTTTGAGTACCTGTATTAGGCATCCAATGTACCTGTAGGTACTTGTCAATCTGGTACACCAGTGTGTGTCACTAGAAACAGGTCCTCAAACCATGAACATAATGCATGAATATGAACACAGATTGACAGTTAGTATTCCACTGTCTAGCCCTATACTTATAAATACTTCCATCAGTTTGAAGTCGTCTGCCATTTAAAGCTGAAGCTTGCTGTAGACTAAATCAAAAAAAAATAATTGACACCTGACACCCCCGTCTTTTTGACAAAAACTGGTCCTCACAGAATTGCATATACATAAATGCACCGTATTAAATTCCAAGAGTACAAAGATTGTTTATTTCCCTAGTCCTTTTGACTATTAGTTCTAATCCTTTTGACTCCAGTTTCATCCCGTTTGCCCTCTGAAGCTGAAGATTTCTGTAGTTCAATTTGATGGCAAAAACTTAACACTTCAAACAACTCTGTATTGTAACCAGATGAAAAGATAGTTTTCATTCTGGCCAGTCCTTTTGCCATTACTTCCTCCAGTTTCACCTTGTCTGCCCTTTTAAGTTGATTCTTTCTGTAGACAAACATGAGAAAACAAATTTACTCTTGTCAACCTGTTAAAAACAGCAGGCCTCAAACAAATTCCATACAAAGATGAAAAGATAGTGTTCATTTAGTTCAGGCCTTTATGACTATTACTTCCTCCATATTCATCTTGTTTGACCTGTGAAGCTCAAGCTCTCTGTATACAGACTCAAGAAAACCAATAAAGTCAGGTCAAGCTGTCATCTATCCTCAAACAAACTCCCATAATTAATTGGCCTGTACACATGGCTTGATAAGGCGGCCAATGAAACTTCTGCCTTTCTTGTTGTGCTCTTCTTTGTGTTGGGGTCGCTAGCTCCATTGTGTTCTGTTATCTGCAAGGAGAAAATACACGGGGGTCAATCAAAGAACAACTTCATCAAGTTGAGTAGATGATTTTGAACCAGTATACATGTACTATTCAACAAATTTCTTTATTATTTCGTTTGATTCAATTTATATAACTTGTCTGCTGTAAGATACTCTTCAGTTTATAGGGTCTTGAAACCTTTTGTTTTGGGCAATACACTTTCCCCTTGCTGAGCAATATAGCCTTACAAATTCTGCATAGTGTATGGCAAGCTAGGTCTAGTTTTCCCATGTCCGAGTTTCCCTTGGCAAAAAGGCCCTCTATATGAAGATGGAAAAAAGGTGTCGGGGAGCATAGACTTCTCAAACTTTCTTTTGAAGGGGAAATAAAACATAACCTGAAATTATTTTTTTTTAAACTATGTACTTTTGGTTTTGGCTTGCCCATTGGTTGAAAGTTGCATTTGAAAAATTTGTTTCAAAAAAGTGATAAACGCCATTTTGTAACTTTTCAGAATTCTGCTCTCTCCTGGCTGCCCAATGTCAGTTTTGATAGTAATAAAGTAAAACACAATTTAGAGTAGTCAAGTGAAACATGTAGTTCAGAAACACCTGTTATACTGTGGATGTTCTTGTATTGTGTCATTTCTATGACATTGTAAAAACAGTAAGAAAGTAAATAGGTAATAGTTTTCTTATTTTGCTACAATCTTGAACAAAAAGAAACAGAAACACACAGCAAGCAAACTGTAAATACCCAGATCTGGCCTGTTTTTGTTGTGGATGTTGTTATTTCTTGGAAACTCCAGAACTTACACGTATGACAAACACATTCCAGGAGGATTTCATACATTACTACATTTTTATTCGTCGAGCTTCAAAGAGAACTTACATAATTAGCTTGTATCTCTTTTCAATCCCAAAGAAGAAATTCTAACTTGCAAGCTTCCAAGAAAAACCAGGACTTTGTATTAGTAAACAAACCTTGCCAATTTTAAAGATGGTAGTGATGTTATACTGCAAAGCTGTTCTATGAACTTTTGTTTTCAGATGATCAAAATTAAATATCAATTTAGTTTTCCGATTCACTTTTCATTCTCAAAATAGTTTTGAAATTTCAGTTTTAATGGACCTTTGTTTGTTTAACTGATTTTTTTTTTTTTATAATACCAATCTCATACATGTACTTGCTTTTCAGGGGCCTGCCTACTTCAAATTCTTTTATTTAATTTTTTTTAAAAAGTTGCTTGTGTAATGGAGGCTTATGATCTTCTCTTTCAGCCGAGTTGGAGGAGACAGAAGAAGAGGAGGGATCAGAGTGAATGAATAAACTCCACCCACAATGACATAGGATCAGACATTCAACCTGTAGCTCCGCCCAGCTGCTGTGGGAAGCTCCTCCCACAAGGCCAAACCATCAATTAACTCTCAATTCAGATTACTCTGATTGGTTAATGGCTACTACCCAGCTGCCATACATGCACATACCAGGTTGAGTTTTTCCACCAGTCTCCGCCCAGCCGCTGTATACACCAGACTATGGATAACTGAAGCTCCTCCCATATGACTAATCAATCCGTAATATTTAAATTGACATGGGAGTGAACTCCACATATTGGTTACCACCCAATACTTGACAATGTGTGTGTCTACCCAGCTGTCTTATACACCAGCCTACAAACTTACAGTTGATGTTGGACTAACTCCTCCCACTGGCTACCACTAAGCTACAAACACCAGTCAGGATCACATAAGCTCCTCCTACCAGGATACAAGGCCAAACCATCCATAAACTGCCAATTGATGTGGGACTATAACTCCTCCCAATGGGTATCACCCAGATCCACCCGTCAGGATCACATAAGCTCCTCCTACCAGGGTACAAGGCCAAACCAGCCAGAAACATACAACTGATGTCGGACTAACTCCTCCCACTTGATACCACACATCTGTCAAACACCAGTCAGGATCACATAAGCTCCTCCTACAAGGCCAAACCATCCATAACCTGTCAATTGATGTGGGACTATAACTCCTCCCACTGGGTACCACCCAGCTGTCAAACACCACCTCCTTCAAGGTCAATCCTTGATGCATTTGATTTGACAAGTGAGTGTCTCCGCCCAGCTGTTGGCACAGACTAAGGATAAACGGAACTCCTACCACAAGGCCCAACCATCCTTCTTTACAGTGTAGTCTGTGGAATGCTCACAGGTGCCATAAAAATAGAATAATACATTGAAAAGCGCAGTGTAATATACAATGGCAATGTTTCATTTGATTTGTCTGGGTTAGGCAGTGCGCCTTTAATGGTGCATGTAAACCTATCTCCGCAACTCATGTTTTTCCAGTTATTCAAACAATGCAATCCCTGCCCCGGTCCGGCAGCATAAGCCCAGGCCTACCAGCGCGTGAGCATTTCATTAATAAAAGCATTTCCCCAGCACGGGTTGAAAGATTCAAGATTCAAGATTCGATCCACCGACCCTTGAGGCACATGGTCTGCATACTGCTCAGGATGCAGCATGCAGCCACTGCAGCGTAAACCAAATGCAATTTGCTACCGTTGCGCTGCAGGGTCCGAGACCAGACATGTTTTTCCATTCATCCTCAGCTACTGGGTATTTTCATTTACCAAATGTATTTTTAAAATGTCAGTTATATAACTTTATATTTTTTATTATCCACATTACATCCCTTGATATTACAGTCTCCGCTTTATTAATGTCCAAATGAAATCTACAAATGTATTTCCATTTGTCTTCGGAATATCAGTGAATATTTTTTTAAAATCCAATCTTTAAATTTAACCCTTTAGTAAAGATTTGTAACAATTTGAAATGTGATTCATTTTGCAGTACATGTAAATAATCCTATATTTTCATGGAAAGCTTAGGTTGAATCTTTTCCTCTTATACCCAGCAAGTCTAATCCACCAACTCTCATTTCAAAACAAACAATCCAAAATTATTTTTTTGAATATTAATTTCTGTTCAGCTTAAACATCATGGTTGAAGCAAAAGCATTACATTTTGTACTAATTTGAATGTAGATCAAGAGGCTTTTTGATCTAGGGACCCACCAGACTCACGAGTGACTGGGCCTGTATACTCCAGATCTCGGCCCACAGTGCAGAAATATCAGGGCTTTGTCTTCATTGCAAGCATTCATGCTTGAGAAAGACAAGGGTACAGAGTCTGTCACCATCATATGAAATAGGGCTCTCTCACAACCCAGCCTTGCTAGTCCATCGCCATTGTGGTAGGCACTAGGCAGGGTGATCCTTACTTTTAGGAGACCTCTATTTTTTACAAGTTCTGTTCAAAACTGACTTTGAATGTCAATTTTGAGTGTCATTTAGTCAACTGTTTTGGTGAGTCTTTCCCTTCCTATAGGGGAACGGGGTCCTAAAAGTAAGGATTACCCTAGGGGAGATCATATGGCAGACGCTGTGATGGATGGCAAAAACTTTGCAAAAAACGCAGAGCCAACACCCAGTGCTGGGTCGGCACATTACGACAACTGTACACAGCACAGGTAGTGGCCATTATGCCATTTGATAAAGAATTATCGGTTCTTTTATGAGAAAATTAGCCCTACTGTCTAGTTTACAATGATGACTGGTTGCTAACCATATACTTGCCTACTGCAATGGTGGCCGATCACGGGCAGACCGGATGGTCATGTGGTATTTGACATCATACGATTGGAACCTATATCAAAGTATGTATGTCTGTGCTTTCTGGTGGTATTGAACCTTAAAAAAAAATTCGAATTGAATACACACATTTTATACTAGCATTGAAAGTGAAGGCTAATAGTACTTCCTGCTATTTTGTGAGTATTGAAAATGAAAAAGGAAAGGTTTCCAATGTCCTACAATAACTTAATACTGCGAGCCTCAATTTGGATGCTTATGTGATATTTGTCCATTGCTCATTTTGGTATTATTTCATTAGACAAGTTATGAGCTTTCAAATGAGATACCGCACACAAGAAAATTGCTGGAGAATGGGAAGTCCCGACTCCATATTTAGACAGTATTAATGTTCATCAATCTTTGTGCATATAGCCAAAATGAAAAAGTTTTGGAGACCAAATAAACTGGAACAGAATGTTATAATTTGTTTCTTCCAAAATTGTTTTTTTTTTTAATTCATGAAAGTAACAGGAAACATTTTCAGCAGAACACAGACATACCAACTTAAGGAGTTCCAAGAGTGTTTACATAGTAATTTAGTATTTCTTGACATTGTTAATTTGTTCTGTTTTCCTCAGAAAACAGGACAACCCATTTTCATCTTTACTTTTTTTAAGGGGTGGTAGTTTTGGAGAAAGCTTTCAAAGTGAGTACAAGTGTATGTATATAAGTCTTTGTAATGCTCACACATATTGGAACTAGGAATTTTTTTTTTGAAGGACCATCAGTTAGCTGAATAAAATATCAGATGTACAGAGTTTGGTGTGCATTGTCTTTTTTGTTCTGGTGACACAGAAACTGAAAGCGTGGTGTGATTCTTTCAGAATGCATCACTCCATCCAAAATAAAAGAGATCACTGCACGTGTCATGCTTTCACTCTCTGAATACAATGTAACGGCAGTTTCATTGGATGATTTAATATCTCATAAAGATAAATATACAATTCAATTTAGCATGCGAGTAATACTTTGTGGCGATCAATATGACAAAGCTTGATGCGATTATGCATTTTGAAAAGGTTTTGTGGACGTGATGTTTTTCCATAGAGTGTTGAGAAGATGAATATTAGCCGACAGTCGCAGCTGCTTAACTAGGTGAATGGAGAATAGAAATCTTCACACAAAAAACGGTCCACTATTTCACACAAACCTAAGCAGGGGCGGATCTAGGTTTTAGGAAACGGGGGGAAGGGTGGGGTGGGGGAGGAGTTTGATATAAGGGCGGGTTTGAGTGAAGGTGTGTCGCAGGCACTCCCTGCTAGGGCGGTCTGAGGGCGTAACCCCAGGAACATTTTTGTCATTTTTAATGCTTTCTCCTGTATTCTAAGGTAATTGGAGAATATATAGAAGAACTTTAGCATTCCATTTGTTATTTTTAGACCCAATTTACAAGTTTCATAACATTAGTTTGCTTCCAGTGAGATCACGTTTTTCATCAGGGGAACTGATTTGGGAGAACGAAAGTTGAGAGCAAAGGGGTTTTTTCTGTTAAATATACTCTGTTTGTGGGGGGAGGGGGGCACAACTACAGTTCCTTTGCATAACAGCAATCGTTGAGGTTCCATATTTATATCCACAGGGATACCCCAGCGATGGCTTTTAACTGCAAACAGTGTATACATCTCTCCGCCCTTTGTCTCTCCTTTGAGTGAGGTCAATTTTTTTTTTAATTTTTGGGAACAAGGGTTTCAAAAAAAACAATCTTAGGAGGTGTTTGTTTATCTATATACTTTTTATCTGGGAGGAAAACAACTTTCAAGTGTGAAACACCCCCCCCCCCCCGCCTTTTCCCCCTACCTTTCCCCTCCTCCACGAATAGTACCCCAAACCTTTTTTCTCTAGTCCCTCCCACTCCACTTTGCATCTGTGCCGTGGCTAACCAACTCTGTCAAACTCCAGCAGCAGATCGTCGCACCGTCAACTCTGACACGGCTTATGGCACGCGACAGGCAGAGGAAATCTCATAACCTGCTTGTCTTCAGCCGAGAATTGGAAACAGGAAGGTTCATTCACCTGCATGAGAGATAATAACATGCCAATAATGTCGCAGCACAAGTGAGTGGCAGACGACGGTGTGCAACACACGAATTCTAGGACGTGATCTCTAAATTTATGTTGGCATTTGACATTCTGGTGGCACTTGCACAGCATTAGTAGAGAACACGGTGGCAATTTACTCAGAATGAACTTAAAAGGGAAATGTACCAAAACAATCTCGCCCGTTGTGTTATTGTTTTATTGGATATTACCTGTTCCAGGGGTGGATCTATCAGCAAAAAGGGGTGTAGCAGTCAGGAGGGGGGGGGGAGTTAACTGGCATGATTATCCAAAAACGATTGCGGCCCAAGAAGTCTGCTCATTTATAAACAAATTTCAAAATGACACCAAGTTCTTGGGCCGGGCCTCAGTTGTCTCTTTTGTGGTAAGGGTTAAAAAAGTAAAGGTAGTCAATGTCATGCGATATATATTGGCAAAGCAGGCCTCAGCTTGACTGAATTTTGAAATTTTGTTTGTTGCTACATTACAATGTTTGTACATTTCTCAAAAGTACCTTCAAACGGGGTCTACCCGATGTTCCCAAAAATCCTTAGGATTAGGGTAAGGGTTGGGATTAGGGTAAGGATTTCGGGGAACATCAGTATTGGGGAACATAGGTATGTACCCCCTTCAAACTGTGTTCTCCTTTTTTCATCCAGTAAGCTCTTCATCAATATCATACAATGGCACGGAGAGTCAAGATTGGATGCTAATTTTAAACTGTTGCTACTGTACTTTTATCAGTGGAACCTTCAAACCGAGTTCAGATTTCATCCAGTATTATGCTTTGCAAGCTTGCGAACTTAGATAAACTTGAAAGTGTCCAGTATAAATGATTTGCAAGCTGAGACCCTCGGTAGCTGTCACCGGTCCCTTGCGGAAGCCACTTTATCTGACACTGATGTCAAGTCAGTTGTCTGTTGGAATAACCTGCCGCGGTGATAGGCATTTGTGGTATTAATGTCAGCCGATCAATGCATCATGTTGAGCAGTGGAGACATCCATGGCTTCTTCGCCATCCACAGTCCGTTACATTTGATACGGTTTT